GCTGCGTGCGGGGCCGTGCGGGGGGCTGCGGGGGCCGGGCGAGCCCCTGGCCTGGCTGGGCCTCGGGGTCCTGCCGCGCACTGCCATAGCCGGGGGGGGGGGATGGGTTTGTCCTGGTCTCCAGTTGCTTCACGTTTCCAGGTGCGAATTTATATGGGAAGCGTTGTGGGGGAGGGGTTCCCTCTTCCTACTTGCGGAACGCTGTGGTTGCTGAGGGTGTAAATAACATCAGGGAACAAGCGACATGCACAGCGGCGTTGGGTTGGGGTTTTTTTACGGTGTTCTCAGAGTCTTTCATGCAGCAGAACTTGTTGCAGTCGGAGCGACTGAATTGCCTTGGGTCAGGTAGTGAGTTTCGAACCCTAAAAGGAGGATTTTCCTCTTCAAATTTACCTGACAGTCCTCGTTGCTATCCTGTGTCCAAGATGGATTTCTCTGTGTCGGGCAGGCACGTTAGAGGGTGGATTAAATAAAAAGGGAAGTTGAGTAGTGGGACAAGCGTGCGAGAGAGGAAACCGAGCGAGTGCAACCTGCAGGAGCCGCAGAGAAGCGTTGCGTTGTGAGAGTACAGCACACGCTTCCGAGAGATCCGTGTTTGCAGCGAGGGCTCAGATCTGCCTGATGGAGAGGGGGAGGGGTTCGGGTGCGATCGTAACCGTTCTCAAAGAAGTATCTGTTGAAACAAGACTTGTAAAGTCTGGCTAGAAAGCAAGCGTAAAGAGGTGTCTGCGGCTGAGACTTGCAAGAGCTGTTTTTGTAAATAGCAGTTTATTTTGAACTTGTATTTACCGTTTGAAAAGCATCAAAATAGCTGCTCCTCTTGCAGGAGATAGGATGCAGTTAACAGTTTCAAGAATGTGAGATGCTAGCCCACAGGTGAGCACTTTGAGACTTCTCTGTGTATGTTTTTGTGTATCTTTTTTTAACAGTTGAATCTGAAAACAGAGTGGCAGGATCCCCAGCGCAGGGTATAAGCGGGACCGGATCTTTTTCAGCCTATGGGCATTGCAATTCAGCCACTGATCTCTTCCAGAATCCATTTAAAGGCTAAAATGTGTAGTTAGAAAAGCTGCACTGAAAACTTATCAAAACTGAAGGCTAGAGGTTACCCTGAGCTGCATACCTAGACCCATGGCAGAGAGAGCCAAATCTAGGGACAG